AACTGGTGAACGCGTGGAGGTGCTGGAGGGCCACACCGACAATGTGGAGGGTGGTGATTGCGCTGCCGAGTGCGGATGGCCAGCTGCCTGTCCTGGTCTCGTGGTCGTGGGACGAGAACGATCCGGGTGGTGGCATGCTGCGGACGACGGGACGGGCGCCATGCGGTACACCGCGGACAGCGCCTCCTGTGAGGTGCTGGAGGGCCACACCGACGGTGTGCTGGGTGTGATTGCGCTGCCGAGTGCGGATGGCCAGCTGCCGGTCCTGGTCTCGTGGTCGGAGGACAGCACGATCCGGGTGTGGCATGCTGCGGACGACGGGACGGGCGCCATGCGGTACACCGCGGACAGTGCTTCCTGTGAGGTGCTGGAGGGCCACGTCAATCGTGTGTGGGGGGTGATTGCGCTGCCGAGTGCGGATGGCCAGCTGCCTGTCCTGGTCTCGTGGTCGAAGGACAGGACGATCCGGGTGTGGCACCCTGCGGACGACGGGACCGAGGCCATGCGGTACACTGCGGACGGTGTCTCCTGTGAGGTGCTGGAGGGCCACACCAGCGATGTGCAGGGTGTGATTGCGCTGCCGAGTGCGGATGGCCAGCTGCCGGTCCTGGTCTCGTGGTCGTGGGACAACACGATCCGGGTGTGGCATGCTGCGGACGACAGGACGGGCGCCATGCGGTACACCGCGGACGGTGCCTCCTGTGAGGTGCTGGAGGGCCACGTCAATCGTGTGTGGGGGGTGATTGCGCTGCCGAGTGCGGATGGCCAGCTGCCGGTCCTGGTCTCGTGGTCGGAAGACAGGACGATCCGGGTGTGGCATGCTGCGGACGACGGGACGGGGATCATGCGGTACACCGCGGACAGGGACTCCTGTGAGGTGCTGGAGGGCCACACCGACGATGTGGAGGGTGGTGATTGCGCTGCCGAGTGCGGATGGCCAGCTGCCTGTCCTGGTCTCGTGGTCGGCCGACAACACGATCCGGGTGTGGCATGCTGCGGACAACGGGACGGGCGCCATGCGGTACACCGCGGACGGTGCCTCCTGTGAGGTGCTAGAGGGCCATACCGACGGTGTGCAGGGTGTGATTGCGCTGCCGAGTGCGGATGGCCAGCAGCCTGTCCTGGTCTCGTGGTCGTGGGACAACACGATCCGGGTGTGGCATGCTGCGGACGACGGGACGGGCGCCATGCGGTACACCGCGGACAGTGCCTCCTGTGAGGTGCTGGAGGGCCACGTCAATCGTGTGTGGGGGGTGATTGCGCTGCCGAGTGCGGATGGCCAGCTGCCGGTCCTGGTCTCGTGGTCGGAAGACAGGACGATCCGGGTGTGGCATGCTGCGGACGACGGGACGGGGATCATGCGGTACACCGCGGACAGGGACTCCTGTGAGGTGC